TTAAAGAACAGAATGGCAAACATGAAATTCTTGGAGTATCAGTCAAGCAAAATGCATGTATGAAGCAGTCTGGAGAACTGTGACAGAAAACAGTGCAGATTTGGGGGAATAGGAGAGGCTATACCCCTCTCCTGCCCATCAAGGCTTTCATATTCCAAGCATTTTAAAACACGATGATAGTCAAAGATCTGGCAAGTGGCAATATCTGCTTTTTAATATTTTTGTTAATATTTTCTCTGCTTATCTAGGTCCTTTAAAAATCCAGTCTGCAAAATCTGGAACACATTTACTTGGTAGCATAAAATTGTACTTTTTATTCTAATTATCCCATAGCATAGAGAGAGGTTGGAGCCTGCCCTTGATGAGGATCCAGAACCACTGACTTACTCCATTTCCTCTATCTAAACATGGGAATTGGTGGCTGGGGAGAGGGTGGGATTCAGGGTAGAGTGCTTGCTTAGCTTGCTACAAGCCCTGGGCTCAACCCCTGCACCACAAAAACCCCCAGAAATTTGCAAAAGAGGGTGTCTGTTGCTCCAATAAATGTCTTCTGTATAGTACAAAAACAATTTACAGTACTTGCAAGATGAGAGCATTTAATACCTTCTCCCTAAACCTGAAAACAAAAGCCACAACGTTGGCTGTCATGCTTGCTCCTCAGAATAATTTCCTAAGCCAAGCTGACATTTCTGCCTTCTTTTCCTGAGCATCTTTTTTTCCTCTCTTACTAGGGATTGAGCTCAGGGTCTGCAAATGCTAGGCAAGCACTCTTCCTTTTTAATCTAAATTTATTTATTCATTTTAATTATGTATTTATTTTTTTGAGGCAGGATTTTGCTAAGATTCCTAAACTGGCCTTGAACTTGAGATCCTCTTGCCTCAGCCTCCTGAGTAGCTGGGATTACAGGGATTTGCCACTGCTCTCTGGCTCTCTAGAGTATCATTTGAAACTATTTTACAGCACTGATCAAAAGGATATTACTCTTTCTTATCTTTTACATAGAATAAGACTTCTAATAGATTTTTGCTTGTTACCAGGTAGAAAATTGTGCTTTTCCAAGTAAAATGAATCAGCTGAGACCTGCCACTTCTTGGGGATTTGCTCTGTGGGCTTTTCTTGCTGTGTAAAACATGAGCATGTCACTTTCACACTTCTGAACACATGAGGAGCTGGAGGCCAAGAAGCTGCAGGGCCAGAAATCTCTATTCTAAGAAACGTTAGGAACTAGGTTTTAGTGTGGGGGTCTCTGTGTCCCCACCACCCTGCCCTGTGATTGGGAGTGGTTGCTTTATAATTCTTAAATCCTGTACTTCACCACCAGGAATACCAAGCATATACTGAGTTCAGCATTGTTCTTCAAGGACAGAATTTAAATCTTACCACTCCTCTCTGCCCTCTATCCCTCTCCCCAGCCCTAAAGCTAGAGAAATAACAGGAAAAAGCACAATATTTGCAAGATGAGATTTCTCAAAGGGCTGCTACAAAATAATATGGTAGAGCTGATAAACTCCAGACCATCCCCTCTCCCTCAATTTTTTATTTTTATCTCTACCAACTGTGGAGAAAGTAGATCATACAAAAGAAGGCCAGGCCTTGGGGCTAAGAGGATTCACTGAGCAGAGCCTGGAAGGAAAGGAGGGGCAGGGAGGGAGAAGTGTTGAGTCCGCTCCTGGCCCAGTAGCTTGCCCTTGTGTGGTGGACCCAAGCCTGGCACTGCCTGGCAGATGCTATTGTGGTTAGCACTAAAGTCCTGCTAACCTGCTCTCCATTAGTCATCCCACCTGGATGTCTCAGTACCTAAATTCTCCAACATTTGTTTAAAGCAGAGATTTCTTCTTAAGTATGAGGATCCTTTTTGTAAGCAAAAAAAAAAAAAAAAAAAGGTCATGCACCCCATGAGAGTATAGTTGAATTTTCTGAGGACAAATATATAAAGACCCTCAAACTATTAGGTATTAATAAGATCTTTTTCTTCTTTAAATGTTTTTATTACATAATTCACATAACACAGAAAATTACAAAGAGCATAACACATGCACAGTGTAGTCAATTTTTGTAATATCCATTACCCAGGTTTCCAGTAGAACATTACGGCACCCCAGAAACCCCGCTAAGTGCCTTCCTCATCGTGACCCCCTCCCTGCATCCTCTGGGGAAACTACCCCCTGACATTGATGGCCACCAGTTCCTCGCTCTTTTTTATGGCTTAACCACCTACGTATGGACCTCTAAACAAGAATTTTGCCTTGAATTGAATTGCAGTATATGTATTCTTTCCATCTTACTTCTTTCTAACATTATGTTGATAAGATTCAGACATGTGTTTGCCTATAATTGCAGCTCATTCATTACCATCCCTGCATAATATTTCATTGTAGCAATAGACTGCAATCAAGGGCTCTATCCATTGTACAGTTGATGGACATTGGTATACTGGGCCTGTAATTAGTAGGCTAATGATGTTACTATTTATTGTTTTGTTTGGTGTTGGTACTGGAGTTCAAACCTAGGGCCACTAAACCCCTAACTCAGAGCTGCTATTCTTTTTTTTTTTTTGGTACTGGGGATTGAACTCAGGACCTTGTGCTTGCCAAGGAGGTGCTGCGCCACTGAGCTAAATCCCTGTCCCAGAGCTGCTATTCTTGACAAACTCTTGGTATATAAATATTCCTAGGGGAGTGAGATACTTTCATCATCAGAAACATTACATTAAATTGTAACAGCTTTGTTGATATCCAATTCATGTATAATACAGTTCACACATTTAATGTGTGCAGTTCAGTGGTTTTTAGTATATTCAGAGTTGTGTACCCATCACCGCAATCATCAGAAACACTTTCAAATGAATTGATATTTTAATAATTTCAAGGATCAGCCTGGGCTACATTGTGAGTTCAAGATCAGTCTGAACTACATACCCAGACCCTGTCTCCAAAATAAAACAAACAGCTGGCCATGGTGGTGAATGCCTGTAGTCAGCGCTTGGGGAGGCTGAGGCAGGAGGGATTGCCATGAGTTCAAGGCCAGCCTGGACTACATAATGAGTTCAAGCTCACCCCAAACTACATGGCAAGACCTGGTCTCTGGAAATCAAAACAAACCAGCACACAACAAAAGATGATAATTTTAAGAACTCACATGGGACTGTTGGAGTAGAAACAGGTGGACATATTTATTCATTATAGAGACAGTGCTTCGCTTGCATATGTCATATGACTCTGTGGCTCTCATAGATCATTAGCTCCCATATTAGGAACCATTGGCTTATGGCCTTGACATGTAGAAATTTTCCATTAAAATGCAGATGTGTTACTTGGAAGACTGCATTACTTCTTACTGTAAGTGGCTTCATGGCAACAGTTCTTAAATTTTCATGGCCATCAGAATCACCTGAAGGGCTTGTTAAAACAGATTGCTAGACACCATCTGCAAATTTCCAATTCACTTGGTCTGGGTAGAGCTTGAGAATTTGTGTTTCAAACAGGTTGCCAAATGATGCTGATACTGTCAAGCCCAGGGACCACACTGAGAAATCTGGTAGCTTGCTGTTATCTTCAAAATGAGAGAACTGGATGTGGGGGAATCCATTCAGTTATTCAGTACATAAGAATAAGACATAAGACACAATTTGATGGAGGGAAAAGAGGTCAGTTAGCAGGCTCTTGTGGTAGCTCAGAGTATGACAGTAGGAATGGAGAATAGGGAATAAATTTTTAGAATTCTTTGGAGGGCTAGGGTGTGTCTTGGTGGTAGAACGCTTGTGTAAGAGGCCCTAGGTCCTCAGCACCACAAACACAAATAAACAAAAAAGGACTATGGAGACAGTCAAGAGACCTTGGGAACTGATTTGACATGGAGGCTAAAGAACAAGGAAGAGTTCACGTAGATACCAAGATTTCAGAGCTGAATCCAGGAAGAGAATTGAAGGTCAGAGACCAAGCCAGATTGGAAGGAAAGAGCATGATCAGTCAGCATCTTCACTTCTCTCCTTGGCTGTCTAGGAAGATTCATTCAACTATCGATCCATGGTCAAAGGATAGCACCCAGGGCGACTGAACCTCTAAATCTTAGGCCCCATTCCTACAGTGTTGCCCCTACAAACTAGAGGCATATTGTGGGAATTGTTCTAGTAATTGCTATTGAATGGAATCCCTCCTTTGTAGCAGTATCTCTCCTATCCTAAAATACGTTGACATTTTCTCTCTGTAAGCAAACCACATTGCCACATGAAGTCTTTCCTGCACTTTTCTTTCTGTGTAAAACCCACACATTCTTAAGGCCCTGCTCATTTCCCACATCCCAGCTGCAATTGCTTCTCGGACTCTTCTGGCACATTGGTGTCCTGCCTCTCAGAGTGAGTTTTCCCCTGCTCAACCAGAGCATCTCTACATTATCTGATCAAGCAGTATAGTGCTTTACTCTTAGAAGCTGCATATTGCTCATGGCTTTGAGGAAAGGGCAAAAACAAAGCCGAGATCTGGAATCTCTTAAGATCTCCCTTACTAGTAGATCCTCAAATAAAGGGACACACCAGTGGAAGCAGCTTTCTCACTGGTGAATGGGCTGGTCTATAAAAGCCGAAAGGACTTTCTGTCTCCATGAGAGTCTGGCCTTCACAGCCTGCTTCCTATTTCCTTAAGAGCAAAAAAGAGGGCTATCTCTTTTTCCAGTCAACAAATATTTACCTAACATGCACTAAAATGGGCACTCTTCTAAACACTGGAGAGAAAATGGTGAGCAAGACCATTTCCAGAGCCTTTAAGAGAAAGAAAAACACAAACAGATCAGCATGTCACATGATTCCATATAAATTCAATGTTATGCTGTCAAAGTAGTCTTCTCTTGCTGAGGACATGATCCTTTCTTTAGTCAGTTTTATTGTTAAGACTGATCTAAAATTTCTTTCCACTTTCTTCCTAGGTCATACATTTCCTCACGTAACTACTCAGGCCCTCCCATCCACCTCTGTCCTCACTCTGGGCCGGAAGGATGTGACCCTGTAAGGGAATGAAAACTGGGAACTGAATGCTACCAGAAAAAGGAAGAGAGCCTGAAATTCCTGTTTTCAAATATACACCTCTTTGGCTGCTGAAGCAAAATGGGACCAGAGTGGTCTCAGGGACCACAGACATGCCACAGAGAGGACTTAGAGGGTTAGGGGGTTATAAACCCTTCACCATCCCACATACACAGTGATCTGGGGTAGAGTAGGCAGAGTTCAGAGAATACATACCCTTCTCCAGGGACCCTAAGTAATGTGGATGATCACACTTTATCTTCCTCTCTTTTTCTTCTGTATTGGGGGTGGAATTCAGGGCCTTGTACACAGTAGGCAAGTGTCCTATCACGGAGCTACGCGCCAGCACTTAGTGCATATTTGGTTAATGAACTTGCTGAATGAATGAGCAGATGAGGAAGTGGAGCTGAGTAGATGTCCAGGCTGCTCATTCAGGCATTCAAGGAGTTCTGATTGAGAATTTAGCACCCACCCCCAAGCACCCAGGCACTACTAAAGAATGGAGACTTGGGCTGGGAGTGTAGCTCAGTGTTAGAGCATGTGTGAGAACTTGGGTTCAACTTCCAGGATTCATCTCCCAAAACATAAAGCCTTGAGTCCCACATACTGAAGTACTAAGTTTGGTGTTTTTGAAATGATGCTTGCCTTGCCAGAAGGGGTGTGCTCTGCGGAAATCCAGTTGTGACAAAGGCAGCAGAACGAGTTCAACTTCCCTTCTTTTGGGGTATTTACCAACTCTTTCTTCCTATGCTAAAGAGGTTGCATCCTGCTGCAGATCTCAGTAGTGAACTGCACCCCAGGCTTTCCACACGTCCTGCTCATTGTGTCCCAGTCCTCAGTCCCCATGTAGCTTCTGGCCTGAGGCAAGAAGTTTCCCTTCTGCCCATACTCATGAAACCCGTCATGGACACTTACCTTTCTAAGATGTCCTCTCCCCTCCCACTCCCATATGAGAATGTAAGAGTGGCAAACAGCTGCCCAGCTTTACTCCTAGGACTGCTCTAGGAGCAGCTCACATCCTCCCTCCAGGACAAAGAGTGACCTGAGGGCATTGGGGGTTTGTGTGTTCAGCTTCAGGTACCACACATTTGGAAGAGCAAAAAACCATCACACATGTTAGAACCCCGTCTTTATTGTGATTTCCTAAAGTATAATTTTTAACAGGCTGAGAGTTGATAAAACTCACAGGACAATGGGAATAGCTGACTTGGAGTGACTCCTGTCGCTGTGTATGTTTATAAGGCACGGATGGGTGGGATTTGCAGCTCTTGGGAGGTCTAGCCCTGGCTGGTCTGTCAGTGGGGCCATTAAAGCCACAGGGACCATTGGCAGGCGCTGGCTGGTCCTTGGCTCAGAAACAGAAGGCCCCTAATGTGGCCTCTGTTGAACGTAGGATTTGCAGGGCCAGGAAGGTTTCACTGGAGCCTACTGGAAGGGGGCGACAGAGGTGAGAGACCTGGTGTGAGGGAAAGCTCAGGGATAGGATGTGTCACCAGTTGGAAGAAACAGCTGTCTGGTAGCAGGAAAGTGTGAGGATAGATGTTGGATGGAGAGCCAGCCGGGAGCTGGGTGGGGGCACAGTGGTAGGGATGAGCATGAGGCTGCAGGAAAGAAGAGGGTCGAAAAGCAGGGGGGAGTAATGCCAGTGAAGGACGGGTAGGTGGGGCTGGGGATGTTTGGACAAGGAACTCTTTGAAGCTCTTCTGTTGTCCTCCCTACCCTGGACCTGATCCCCTCCCCTCCATAAAGCCATTAGCTTCTGGTGCCAGCACTATCTCTGCTCCATCTCTCTCCCTCGGTTCCAGTCAATGCCTTCACAGACCTCCTGCCCTGAGGGACGAGGTGGGGATTTATGGGGGGCTAAGGGGAAGGGGGGAGGGGGCATCACTTAGTGGAGGCGGGAGAAGTCTGCTAGGAAAGTAGGGTGTGGGGAACTGTTAGTCAGCCCCGCTAGAGGCGGGTCGTTTCCGAGCAGGCTCTGCATGACAAAGGAGAAGGAGCAAGGCTCTTCTTTGATGTGCACCCTGCCGGCCCCACACACCTGCCTGTGGGTGCCCCCACCCCAGCTGAGACCTCAAGAAGGAAAACCTAAAGGGGGTGGGGGAAAGGTTGTGTCCCAGCTCCTCTGGATCCTGTTCCAGCCACCTTCCTTTCTTGGTAGCCCCAGGACAAAAATATTTCATAGGCTGATGACCCAAAGCACCTGCCGCCCCCTCCCGGAGAGCCTGGAGAGCCAGAACCACAGGACCGGCATGGTGAGGAGGAGGTGGGGGCAGCGTGGAGCAACTCGCAGGCTGCGTTTGTGTGTGTAGTGCTGGAGGTGCTGAGGGGTCCTGGGAAAGAGAATCACAGGAGATGTGGGGTCCTGCCCCAGAGGGAAGCTAAGGGAGGACGGGGGCCGGGGGTGTTTTTACCCACTCAGCCTAGAATCCAGAGGCCTGGATTTGCCCTGTTCCCAAGGGCTCCAGGAAAGGTGCGCTTTGGGGGTATAGGCAGAGGCATTAGCTACAAAAACACAAGGCAGAGATACGGGGAGCTATGGTGGTGCGAGAGGTCATGGACTTCGGAAGATGCATCCTCAGAAGAGGTATTCCATGCAGCCCCTTCTAGGAAGATTACAGAGGAGGAAACGGGCTACCTAGGAAGGCATGGCCTTGGCCACCAAAGCTTTTGGGATGCAGGGTGCACAGTTCACCCTATGGCTTTTACATATTTTGGAGACGTTGCCTTGAGAAAGTGAGAAATCTTCATTTGTCTCCCTCCTGTTATTCCGTAAGAATAAACCAGGTTGAGATTTGGGAAACCTGTTCAGAAGGAGAAGGATAGAGAGGGAGATGGAAGGCTTCTATTTTAGTGAAGGCAAATCCAGTTTATCAGTGTTTTAGCCTCTACAAGTGATGGTCAGATCAGTAAATCTCTGGGCTGGAGTGAGAGATAAAAAATGAAGAGTAGAGAGGATGGTCCTTGCTTCTCTGGGTGTTGTAGAATGGCAAGTGTACCCTGTAGCAGCCAAAGCAGCTTCCTAAATGCCACACTGAGCACACTCTGTTCTTGGTTTTATCTCACCACCGCCCCGTGCCAGGGATCGAACTCAGGACCTTGGGCTTGGGAGGCAGGCACGGCACCACTGAGCTAAATCCCCAGCCCTTTGTTTTCATTTCTTTTTCCTGATTTCTCAGCTCATTTCCTTTGGAATTAGGTCTTGAGTAGGGTTCCCACAGTTTGAGGGGAGAGGCCCAAAAGCCTTATGTTGAGAAAATAAGCAGTAAGAGGTAGATGTTGGAGCTGGGCCTGGTGGAACAAACTTGTAATTCCAGCACTCTAGGAGGCTGAGACCAAAGGCTCAAAAGTTGGAGCCCAGCCAGGGCAATTTAGCAACTTAGAGACCTTGTTTCAAAAATTTAAAAATAAAATAAAATAAAAGGGTGGGGGAATGTAGCTCAATGTGAAGGCCCTGGGTTCAATCCCCAGTACCACTGAAAAATGAACGGATGAGGTGGAGGTTGGAAAGGGGCTGAGACTTGGAGGGAGAACTTGACTTTAGATCTGCCCTAGAGCTCATGGTTTTCGCTTTCTTCCACCTCTCCCTTGTCTCTTGTCTTCCTGGGACTGTCACATTTGCACACTGACCCTCCTTTCCTTTTCTCTAGGGAGCCCCACTTTGGAATCTGCCAGTCCCAGAGCACTGGGGTGGGCTGAGGCCGACCATGCCCAGCCTGCTGTTGCTGTTCACTGTGGCTCTACTCTCTAGCTGGACCCAGCTGCTGACGGAAGCCAACTCCTGGTGGTGAGTTTGAGGGACTGCGGTCCCGCTTCCACCCCTAGGCTCCTTTGTTAATGGAGGGGCGGAGAGGGGACACCAAGGGTCGTGACCCTACCTTAATCTATAGGACTGGGAAAGGCCTTTCCCATCCAGAAAAACTAGGAGAAACCTTTTGCTCTCTCAGGTCCCAAGAAGCAAAGGTTTTCTGGGGATGAATTATTCATTCATTTTTTTTTCCTCTGATCTTGTCTATAATCCTTTTTTCCTGGATCTTTCCCCATCTTTATGACTTTTAGAAATAGACTTTTATTGTTACTGGGTTAGTAAGAATGCTGATAGCATATAAGTGGCCCTGGGTTTGATCTCCTGTGCTGAAGAAGAAAAATAACCCTGTAAAGCTAGGCAATGGCATAAGAGACTACTCAGCACACTGAGGCAGGAGGATTATTTGAGCCCAGGAGTTCCAAGGCGACCCTGGGCAACATAGCAAGACTGTATCTTAGAAAAAATTATTCATCTCCCTCCCTTCCTTGTACCTTCCTTCCCCCTCTTCCACCCTTCCTCCCTTTCTTCCTTCTTCCTTGCTTTTCCTGACAGAGAAAGTAAAACTCCTGTTATAACAGCCTGAAGACCAGATGAGGGATTTGCAGGACCATGCCTGACTTTCTTTCTGTGTGTTTTGTTTTGTGGTACTGGGGATCAGACCCAGGGCATTCTGCCACTGAGCTATGTCCCTGACCTTCTTGACCTTGTTATTTTGAGACAGGAGCTCACTAAGTTTCCCGGGCTGGCCTCAAACTTGAGATCCTCTGGCCTCAGCCCCTCAAGCATCGGGGATTACAGGCATGTGCCCCTCTGCATGGCTCTCTGTGTTCTTACGGCCACTGGCATTGCCACATCAACCTGAAAATGGCAGAGAATCACCCTAGTTTGCATGGTTTTGTCCTGCTTGCTTTTCTATGCAGATGGAAAATCTGTAGCTTTCTCATCTAATGTACCACTTGATTGTGTCTGATTGCTGGTGAGCACAAGGGAGGTATCCGGAACTGATGATCAACAGTGGTTTAGGGGACGTTCAGAGGGAAACAGGAAGTGAAAACATTCAGAATATGTTGTTGCGACATGTGTAAATTGGGTTCTGTTTTAAAAGCATAAGGGGAGTTCCACTTAAGGGAACTGATTGCTGCTTTTTGTCATGGATGCTGCACTTGGGCTTAACTGAGTTAATCAGCCTACTCCTTGAGGAAGGCATGTAGAAATTTGGCTCTTTTTGCCCTCTGCCTCAAATGAGCAGTTGCCCCACCCACCCTGTCTCCTTCTTGCCTACCTCTCATCCTTTAAGATCAGTTCACAATCTGGCTGTTTCCTTCTAAAGATCTTTTCCCTGTCTGATCGCAGTGGATCCAGACATTTGGCATCTCACGTATCATTTATGTTTGTGCCCTGGTTTCCCTCTGTGTATCCTTTCAGGGCACACAGTTTGTGTCTAACTTTTCCTTCCAGGTCCTTGTTCCAGAGCCCTCTACACAGAAAGCATTCAGTAAGTAGCTGAGTGAATGAATGACCTAACACTGCACCCAGGTGCATATTCACACCTTGACCTTTCCCCCTTTCTGTGTTGCTGTTGCAGGTCATTAGCTATGAACCCAGTGCAGAGACCCGAGATGTTTATCATTGGTGCTCAGCCTGTGTGTAGTCAGCTGCCTGGGCTCTCCCCTGGCCAGAGAAAACTGTGCCAACTGTACCAAGAACACATGGTCTACATTGCGGAGGGGGCCAAGACGGGCATCAGGGAGTGCCAGCACCAATTCCGGCAGAGGCGGTGGAACTGCAGCACTGTGAACAACACATCTGTCTTTGGCAGAGTCATGCAGATAGGTAAGAGGCACCGAAATGTGGCTTGGCCACAGGATCTACGCTCATCTTGCCTGTGTGCGCTTAAGGCCCAGGGACTGGCACACTGAAAGCTCAAATGGGAACCTCACTGGGTTCTTTCTAGACTCGGAAGCAGTGTTCAAAAAGGGAGAGGGAGGTACTCAAAGAAGCAGCATCCCTGATAAAGTATTAATAACCAGACAATTCCAAGTCCCTGTAGCCTGTGCTTTCCAACTTCACTCTGGGGCAGGCAGATTGTGGCTCACTCTAGGAGGGAGTGGAACATCTGAGTCAAGTTAGAGTGGATTAGGAGACCCACCCACCCTGCCCGCTTTGTCTCTCAGTGCAAAGTCTATTAGTCTTATTAGAATCTTAGGTAAAGAACCCAGAACCGCAGCCCTGAATGTCTGTGGGATTTTTACCCCTTTTGCTTGGACCTTTAAAAGAGAGATAGAAATTTTGGGCCAAATTAATGATAGCTGACTTTAACCTGAATCAGATCCAGAGCTGACTTTTTCATTTAAAAGGTAGGGGGTGAGGGGGCCAGACTAAAGAAGCCAGATGCGAGGACCACAGGCTTCCCGGATTCTTGTCCCTTTCCCACTCCCACTGCTGGTCTAGGGTTCTGTGGCTGCCCTGCTGCTGAGATGGAGGTGTGATCTGAGGTCTAATTGTTTTAGGTCCTTTTGAAATGCAATCCTCCCCTCCCTGGCAAGAAATTGAGAAATCCGGCCCAATTCTAGGTCTTATTCCCAGGGCCATAAAAGGAAGGTGTTGGAGCACAGTGTTCCCCGTCTTACATTCCTAGAAGACATTTTACCATCAGATGGCTCATTCTGGAGTTACCTGGGGCTGGCGCTTCCCCAAGAATGATTCTAGTACTGTAGGGGTTGGAGAGCTAGCTGAGGGAGCTGGTGACCTTGAAACCCTCTAGGAAGAGGGACTCGTGGAAGGCCCCTCCCCCTACCACTTATTGCAGACCTCTTTCCCTGTCTCATATTGAGAAGTAAAAAAAATGGAGCAAAGTACACTATGAATCTTGCTGTGCTTTCTCTTCTTCTTTTTTTTTTTTTTTGGTACCGGGCATTGAACTCAGGTCCTTGTGCTTGTGCAGCAGGCGGCGAAACCACTGAGCTAAATCCCTGGCCTCTTCTTTTGAGATCAGTTTAAGGTACTATGCTCAGTTGGCATGTGGCACAAGTCTGTACAGCACTTAGGGAGGCTGAGGCAGGAGGATCACCTTGAGTTTGAGGCCAGCCTAGGCTACTTAGTAAGTTCAAGCCAGCCTGAACTACATAGCAAGACTCAGTGTCAAAAAACAAAACAAAACAGGAATGCTCATCTGTTCCTGGGACAGGCTTAGGAGCAACACATTCCCAAAGGAGTGGGCTTGGGGGTTAATTGGAATTTATTCATCATTTATGTTTTCATCTCAAATCCACTGGGTATTTGTTGCTTCTTCCTGGTGAAAATCTCAGCTGTCCTCCTTGTCCTGTGCTTGAGGTGAGGACATCAGGGTGACCCACGTATACAGAGACGCATTCCCTAATCATTTCAAGGGAGACCTAATGCATGCCTGGCATTGGCTGGATCTTTCTCATGTGTTATTTTGTTCCACTGAAGGACAGAAAATGAGGCTTTACTTAGCAGGGGTAAAAGGATGGCAGGAATAAATGCTCTGCTGAGTGCAGGTTTGCCTACTGGAACCTACTAGTGGAAGCAACCACATCTCACTCTACCTTATTCTATTACAAACTGGAACCCCGTATTTGCCTAATTTTCCCCTTTCCTTTTTGTAGCTTCTTGGACGACTCATGCTACCTAAACTGTCCTCCTTTCCTCCTCCTGGTCCCAGGGTGGCTCTTGGTGAGAAATCCCACTATTTTCCTATGACTTCCAAAAGGTTCCTTTTTCTTTGAAGCTGCTGCAGAAGTCTGTCGCTAGAGGGCAGCAGAGCAGCTCGGAGGAGCCTTGGTGGGCGCCTCACCTGGCCTCTGCCTTGGGAGCTGGGAGGCAGCTTGGGTGGTTGTGGAAGTGAGAGGGTATGATGTTTTTCTGGCATCTCCTTGGAAGGAGAAGATGCAGTGTTTGTGCAGTAGCTCCATGGCTGCTGGTTTATTAACCTTTTATCTTTGAGATGGTTTGAGTTTCAAACCTGAATTGTTCACATTTAGATAAACCCTCTACATTGCTTATCCACTCTGAAGCCCCAGGTGAGCTCTTTCTTTGAGGGCAGCTCTTGTGGTCTCTACTTATCAGCTGACCAGATGCTCCCCCATGGAAGCAGAGCTGCCTGGACTTGGTGTCTTACAATACCTGCTTCTGATGGGCTGAGGCAGATAGCGACTCAAGTGACAGCTAAGGCATATGGGGACATATTCAGATCCCAGACCATCACGAGAGGCTAGAATTGTCAGAGTGCAGAGTGTCTGGTGTGTTGTCTTCAGCTGCAAGGTACAATCCCAAGAGGGCTGATTCAGCTCCGAACAGCATGTTTGCCAAAGAATGGTGGAAGTCAGACATATGTAACTGGGAAGGGGAGCACATAAAAAGGCTTATTACTTGTTTTCAAACACTGAAGAGCTGTCAAATGGAGAAGGAATTTGATAATGTTGTTCCAGCAGGCAGAAGTTGTAGGGAGGCATATTTTGTTTTATTGTAAGAAAAAACATTCTGGTAATTAGAGTCCTTTTAAAAAGATGAAATGGTAAAGCAGTAAGATTGCACATTCGAGTCCAGCCTGAGCAACTTAGTATGACCCTGTGTCAAATATTTCCCTCTACTAGGGCTTGAACCAGGTCCTTTGCACTAAGCTGTGTCCCCAGCCCTTTGTTGTTGTTTTTTTATTTTGTTTTGTTTTGAGACAAGGTCTCACAAAGTCATTAAATTGCCAAGGCTGGGCTGAAACTTTTGATCCTTCTGCCTCAGCCTCCCATTGTGCTGGGGTTATAGGTGTGTGCCACCATGCCCAGTTAAGGCCCTGAGTTCAATCCCCAGTACCAAGGGGAAAAAAGGGATGGGTTGCTTTGAAAGCCCATCCACATCTCTGAGGAGTACTATAAAAGGAATGTTCCCTGTGGATGGAGTGGAGCTCTGGGCTCTAGCTTCAAAGGCTCCTTTCTATTCCAGAATGCCACACCAGAAGGCTGAAGATATCTCTTAAGAAAACTTCCCAGGGATGAAGTCCTCAAAGTAGGGCCCAATGCTCCCCAGCAGTCTCTTCGACTGACTTGCCATCCTGGGTGCTCACTGGCACAGTCTAGCCTTCCGCCATACCAGACAGATCGCTGGACTCTGGTTTTGTTCAGCACTGGTTCAGATGTCAGTCCTGATGGCTGTGTCGTGAGTGGAACTTCCTCCCGTTGTTTGGGATTGTCCAGGGGCATTCCTATTCCACAACTGACTTAAGAGCTGACCCCTGGTTAATTGAGAAAAACTGACTCATCCAGACTCATCATCTCTGGTTGCAAACGTCACTGTGTGGGGCAGAGGTGACCAAGAAATAGGGTGAAGTGAGAGGTCACTCCAGGCCTTTCTGTTGATTACACAGTGCTGCTGCTCCAGACAAGGCTATGTGATGTCTGCTTCTGAGCACAGGGACTTCAGGAGAGGAGGAAAGGGAGAGAGAGCAGAAGGTTCTCCCTGATTCCATCTAGATCAGATTCAGTTTCCTGCTAAGAATCACTCTCTTCTCTCCATCTCAGTATCCACAAGAGTATTATTATTTCTTATAGCAGCTTTATGAAGACAGAATTTACATCTCATACAATTCACCATTTTAATGCAATTCAGCGGTTTTTAGTATATTCACAAGATGTGCCACCATCACCACTAATTCTAGAATATCTTCATTACTCCATAGAAAAAAATGCATTCCCCTTAACTGTTATTCTCCATCCCCTAGTTCCTCCCCATCCTAGGCAACCACTAATTTGCCTCTATGAATTTTCCCAGTCTGAACATTTCATAAATTTGGATCATACAATAGCCAGATGTGGTGGCGCATGCCTGTAATTCCAGCACTCAGGAGCCTGAAGGAAAAGGATCATCATGAGTTTGAGGCCGGCCTGGGCTACAAAGTGAGTTCAAGGCCAGCCTGAAGTACATAGTGAGATCCTGTCTCAAAAAACAATAAATAGGGACACCTACTCAGGACCCTTGCTGGAAATCCAAGAGCTATTCTTCTTATTTCCAATAAAAACTATTCTAACTTCAAAAAATTAAATAAATAGAATTATACAATATGTGGCCTTTGGCGACTACTTCTTTCACTTAGCATAATGATTAAAAAGTTCATGTATGTTGTAGCACGTGTCAATACTTTATTCCTTTTATGGCTAAATAATATTCTACTGTATGGATAATACCATATTTTGTTTATACATTCATCTGCTGATAGACAATTAGGTTGTTGCCACTTTTTGCCTATTTTATTATTTTTTTTGAGACAGAGTCTTGCTATATTGTTAAGACTGGCCTTAAACTCACAGTGATCCTCCTGCCTCAGCCTAGCAAGTGCTGATCATACTTTGTATCACCATGCCCAGCTCATTTTTTGGCTATAAATGATGCTGCCATGAGCATTCATGTGTAAGTTTTTGTATGGACAAATATTTTCATTTCTCTTGGGTATATCATACTTAGGAGTAGAATTGCTGAGTCATATGGTAACTCTGTGTTTAATCTTTTGAGGAACTGCCAGACAATTTTCCTAGTAGCAGCACCATTTAACATTCCTGTCAGTGATACAGGAGAGTTCCATATCCTGTCTTGTTACTAGCTGTCTTTTTGAATATGGCCATCCTAGTGAATGTGAGGTGTTGTCTTATTTTGACTTTGACTTGCATTTCCCTGAAGGTTGAGCATTATTTTTAATAAACATATTCATTAAAGTAAAACATACATCTTAAGAGTATGTAAGTGGTTTGCTGCACAACAAAAAGGAACACACTTGGAATTTCCTACAGGAAAATGATCTGGATATTGAGAGGGACCATACTCAGTGTCTGAAATAGTAGGTATCATGGGTGGTATGGTTGCCGGGTGCTCTTTGAGTCGGGAGGCAGTGTGATCCTGTGTAAGAGAAAGGGCAACAGCTTGAATTATTCTGGACATTGCAATTCTAGTTTGCTTTCTATTCCTGGCCTCTGTCCCAGTCTGGCTAGATAATGGCAAAGCAATGAAAAAGACAGATGGATAACTCATGGAGTGGTGAGAAACTGGATTTGAGAGGGAGGACTTCCAGCTAGGGTGCAGACTCCTACTGATCCCATGGTTTCTTCCTCAGTGTCATTCTGTTAGTCCTACCTGGTCCATAAATTTCTAGACACCCATTCCCCCTCCATTAAGTCTCCCTCCTAGGACTACAGTTCTACATTGCATCAGAGTATAGTCCTGGCCTGGAAGGATCCCTCTGACTCTGTGTGGTTTGGTAGGGCAGACCCAGGACCAAGAGGCAGAAATGAGAAGGAGTAACTTCAGCCCACTTTAAAGGGAAATTTCTTTTTTCTTTTTTTTTTGCTACCGGGGATCAAACTCAGGACCTTGCGCTTCGAGGCAGGCGGTGGAACCACTGAGCTAAACCGCCGGCCCTAGGAGGAAATTTCTAACCATTCAGCCATGCAGAGGGAAGGGCTCCCCGTGATGCTAGTTCCCACCCCAGGACTGTTGCAGCAGAGTAGGGCGACCTCCCTCACCCCACCTCTTGTCTCCTCTTGCAGGCAGCCGGGAGACTGCTTTCACCTATGCTGTGAGTGCTGCGGGCGTGGTCAATGCCATCAGCCGGGCTTGCCGAGAGGGTGAGCTCTCCACATGCGGCTGCAGCCGGACAGCGCGGCCCAAGGACCTGCCCCGGGACTGGCTGTGGGGTGGCTGTGGGGACAATGTGGAGTATGGCTACCGCTTTGCCAAGGAGTTTGTGGATGCCCGGGAGCGGGAGAAGAACTATGCCAAGGGGTCGGAGGAGCAGGGCCGCGTGCTCATGAACCTGCAGAACAACGAAGCAGGTCGGAGGGTAAGGTGCAGGCCTGCGCCATCTCGGGCCATTTCTCACCTGTCACATTTCTGTACTTCATGGGAGGTCCATCCAGATATATAAAGTAGAGTTCTTGTCTTGACCCACCCTCCTTTGTAATTAGAGCAGATAAGAAGTTCAGACCATTGGGGCTGATGCAGGATTTACGACTTATTAAGGGCTCAGGTAGACCCAGAGCGAACTTTTAAGAGCTGCTGTTGTATATATCCAGAACCCCAGTCAAAAAGCACATTTGAGTGCTAACGGCAAACACTCTATGGAAAGAGTCTTAAAACATAAATGGAAGTGTGAAAAAAACAGCTGTCTTTTTAAGGTTCAACAAAGTCTCACCAGTCTCACAGAAGAGGTGACTGTTTTCTAAAATGGTTTCAGTAGAAGTTAAAACAGGTTTTCGGGCAGCTCGGTTCTGTGTGTATGCAGAGTGTACCTAGCAGTGTCCCTTTGTGATGTGGCAGAAAGCGATTCCTTTCCTGCTTGCAGCTTGCTCAGGAGGACCCTCTCTGAGCACATGTCTGTCCCACAGTGTTCTGCCTCTGCCACAGGAAACTAGAGGCTGCCCTGCAGGACACACTGTTCTCTCACTCATTGCAGCCTGGGTTGACAGGAAGTGAGGACAGTGCTCTGGGACCTGAGCGGAAAGGGCCACTCAGGAAGCACCCCGGGCTTCTTCCTTGGAGTGTTGTCCCCACACGGGTCTGTGCCATGCCACCCAGTTCTGGCTCCTAGGCTATAGTGAGACTGAAGACCAACTGAAAACGAGAACAGTAGTTTCTTGAGAAGATCAGAAGGGGAATGTTGGTTCACTGGTGATTCAGTTATAGGGTGTAGATACAGATATAGATATATATAGATATATAGATATAGATATATTTTTTTAAATGCCTGTGTATATCAGTTTACAACGTCAACACCTATGTTACAGGAGCATGTAGAAATAAATGAACTTGAACATGTCTTATATGAATCAGGATCTTGTGGTATTGACTTGACAGGACTTGGTACAGCTGTGTACACGTAGCGTCATCGATAGTGTGAACTCCCTCCAGTAGAAATTAGAATTGGTCATTTGCAATTGAGTGTGGTGGTGCACACCTGTAATCCTAGCACACTGCTGAGGCAGGAGGATCAAAAGTTTGAGCCCAGCCTAGGCAACTTAGCAATTTAGCAGGGCCTTGTCTCCAAATTTAAAAAACCAAACTTGAGAGATCTGGAGATGTAGCTCAGTACAAAGGCTCTGAGCTCTCCACATCCTGTAGTCAAAAGCTAGTTTTGATTGGTCAAAACTGAGTGTGTGAGGGAGTAGTGTTAGTCTTTGGAAATGCTAGGAGTTTTAGTTGTGTCTCTGATCTGCAGTTAGCGTGGTACAAACCGGGACGGAAAGCCTGAAAACAGCGAGCTGAGTTCATGCTGGGCCTCTGTGGAGCTGCCCATCTCCTCAGATCTCTGTGTGACAGTCCATCTACTGTCCAGCTCGAGGAGCAGAAAAACAGTCAGTGAGAAGCACTAAGATCTCTTTATCTCCTGAGTGCCCTTGGTGGTGGGTACCTGTAGCCCCAGCTACTCTGGAGGCTGAAGCAGGAGGTTTGCTTTGGTCTAGGAGTTTGAGACCAGCCTGAGCAACACAGCAAGATTCTGCCTCAAGACAAAAAAGGTCCTAGCTCAAATAGCACCTAGTCCTTGGCATCTTTCCCATCCCCTATAGTCTCTCTTTTATCTGAACTTCAGGGGAGCATTTGATACTTTTCTTGAGGCATTTCTCATTCTGCTTTTCTCTTATTGAAAACGGGGATGGCCACCTATACTTTTTTTTTCCTTCCAGTACCAGGGATTGAACTCAGAACCTTGCACTTGCGAGGTGGGCATGGGTGGCACCACTGAGCTAAATCCTTGGCCCACCTGTACTTCTTTGTGACACGTGGAAAGACACAAATGACTGCATGGAAAGAAGTTCCCATGTAGCCCCAGAGGACCAGCAGCTTGGAGGATGTTCTGTTTCCTTCAGGCTGCGGTCCCTGAGGAGAGAGCAGGGACATTGACTCTTCCCTTCTCCTCCCAGTCTTGACCTGACTTCTGTCAGCTCCTCACTTTATGGCCCTTAATTGTGTGTATGTTTGTGCTAGGCCCTTATCTAGGCAGAGCCTTCCCTTCCATCTGCCTGTTTCTCCCTCACACACCTTCCTGGCTTCCTCTGTCTGCCTGCCAGGCTTTGTGCCCCGCCCTGGTCTCCACACCTCTCCCAAGGCCTTTATCTCTCCCTCTGCCTCTGTCTGCTCCAGGTCAGGAATTCTTATCCCTATTTTTTTTTTATCTTCTCTCCAAGCAACAGGACTCAGCCATCCATCACCATCTGGGGCCAAAGGCATTCACTTTCCACCTCACACCTGCACAGAAAGTTCTCTGGGGAGGACTGAGTGGTGGTTGGTATTGAAAATAACTTGGACTAGTGATTTATGACCGGATTTTTTAAAAAACAAAAAGCTGATTATCTGGGATCTGACACTGTGGCTACAGACTAAATCTTAGGCACACTTTATCAGAAGTTTTCTCTTGGTCCTTTAAACACCTCTGGCAGGGCCTCTTTGACACCGATGGCAGGGCTCACAGGGTGGTATTGCCTGGTCACTCAAGGGTTTCTAAGGATTTTTCAGAGAAAAGCCTTATGCCTAATCCTTGTGACATTCCTGTCATATAACCAAGCTCATCACTTAGGACATTGCCAGGGTAGAGATGTAGCATTAAAACATTTTTAAAGTCTTTTTTCTCAGTCCTGTGGATGGAACTCAGGCCCTCACATATGCTAGGTAAGCCCTCTACCACTGAGCTACATCCCTAGTCCCACATTGTATTATTTTTTGAGTCAGCAAAAGTGTCAAAAATTGAAATTGTCCCCTCTGCCTTCTCCTACAAAAAGAGTTATATAAATATGATAATCTCCACAGTGTCTTCATAGTAGAAGGATGGATGAATGTCCAAGTAGTGAAGAGTACTGACATTCTTTCTCTGGGAGTTGCTTTACTGAAATCAGTGTCCTCACCCCATGGAGTCTGGCTTTGATTCTTTCCGCAAATCTCCCTGAGTGTTTATTCCCAGTGGAGATGCTTATCCTATTTCCCTAGTTGGTCAGTGACAAGGTACACAGTTTTAGACCCTTAATGCTTCCTCCTCTCTGAAGCGCCAGACGCCTGCCACCCCACTCTAAACCAAGGACCATTTCCAGAGGAATGTCAGGCTGTAGCTCAGACGTGGGGCATTTGGGCCAGAAGGATAATTGCAGCCCTGTCTTTGAAGTGCCTGTTGGGATGGGGTGTCAGTTCCTTTGTGTTGTGGGCCTGGAGCTGCCAGGCCTAGAGCCAGTGCCTCTAACCTTGGGCAGGAGCTTTCCTCCCTTCCCTACTCTGAGTCACCTTGAAGCCCCAAGATTGGAGTGCAGACATGATCGCAGTCTAGCTCCCTCCCAAGTGGCCCTGAATAGGTTACTGAGACTCCCCAGAGCTTCAGTCTCTCAGCCGTAAATCAGTGGGAGTAGTTCTCTATGGGGGAAAAAGTCAGCAAGACTTTTGACAAGACTCCTATGAGCTGATGATGGTTATGCTGTTTTTTGCACCTGCCGTGGTCTCTGCTTAGCACTGAATAAAGACACAATCTGGGAACTCTTGAAAAGAAATCTAAGAGAAACCCTTGAAAAATGAGTCCTGACTCAGTTGGTGACAATAACTGTGGCAGAGGAAAACGCTGTAAGGCAGACGTGCGTTTTTATCCCGCCATCTGCACTTCTGGGCTTGCTGCCAGGGTTATTTGACACAGCACATCAGTGGACTTTCATTGAAAAGCAGCTTTTTTCATTGCAAGCAGCTTTCTGGTCTACTTCTGCTTTTACATTTCAATTTGGGATAACCGAAGTTCAAATCACTCCACATTGTTGAGGTTCTGTGACTTGCAGATAGATTTGTTTTCAAATGAATCACTGCTAACAGCATGCCCGCCGACCCTGTCCTCCCCGTGGTTGTGCCTTTTTCCTCCACCTGCACAGCTTCTGCTTAGGGGTACATCGTGAGGTGCTGGGGTAGAGGAAGTGGTCTTGCTTATGAATGGGGTGGATCTCTGGAGGTTCCCGATGACTGTGGCTTAGTTACCAAATGGCAGTGCAGGAAAAGGAACCACGCGATACTCAGGGGAGTTGGTAGGATCTGGGTCAGCTTTTGGCTAGCCAGGACCATGCCAGTGGTTTTTCGTTACAGTTTTGGGGAAGCAACTGGATTGTTTCTTTTCTGACTTGTGGCTGATATTATGCAAAGGCTGGACACATTTTCTTGGCTTTATTTACTTGAGACTGGATCATGATGGAAATTTTGATCTGGATGTGGTGATGCTCACCTGTAGTCCCAGTACTCTGGAGGCTGAGGCAGGAGGATCACTCGATCCCAGGAGATTGGAGTCAGCCTGGGAAAATGGCAAGACTCACTGGGAAAAAGAAAGAAAGGAAGGAGAGAAGGAGGAAGGAAGGAAACAGTAAGTGAATTGAGGGGCTGGGGAGGTAGCTCAGTGGTAGGGCACTTGCCTAGCATGCACAAGACCCTGGGTTTGACTCCTGGAACCACAAAAGAAAAAAATTGAAATTTTTTCTAGGTTATGAAAATGACGTATTTATTGTAAAGCAGACAGTGAAAGTCCCCCATATGCCATCCTTGTAGGGACACATTGCATGGCCTCCCCCCGTTCTGTGCGTTGCTCCTTTTATTTGCTTTCATCCTAAACAGTAGAGAATCCTGGAAGAGCCTCTTTATGTATTTGGAGACCTGTTCACCTCCACTCTCAGCTCTTTGGTGTAGTTGGCCCGTGGCTCCCTTGCCACCCTCTTGACCTTGTCCATCAGGAGTCTCCTTCTTATTCCTTTCTTCCTTCTCCCCTCAGGCTGTGTATAAGATGGCAGATGTCGCCTGCAAATGCCATGGTGTCTCAGGGTCCTGCAGCCTTAAGACCTGCTGGCTCCAGCTGGCTGAATTCCGCAAAGTGGGGGACCAGCTGAAGGAGAAATACGACAGTGCAGCTGCCATGCGGATCACCCGCAAGGGCAAGCTGGAGCTGGTCAACAGCCGCTTCAACCCGCCCACCCCAGAGGACCTGGTCTACGTGGACCCCAGCCCAGATTACTGCCTGCACAATGAGACCACAGGCTCCCTGGGCACCCAGGGCCGCCTCTGCAACAAGACCTCGGAAGGCATGGATGGCTGTGAGCTCATGTGCTGTGGCCGTGGCTACGACCAGTTCAAGAGCGTCCAGGTGGAGCGCTGCCACTGTCGGTTCCACTGGTGCTGCTTTGTCAAGTGCAGAAAGTGCACCGAGATTGTCGACCAGTACATCTGTAAATAGCCAGGGAGACTCCGCTCCTCTGATGCTCTCCTTCACTCTGCCTCACAAGAGTCTATATTATATAAATCTATATAAATATATTTTATATTTGTAAAAATAAATGGCTAGATGATAAATAATCAAGAGAAGAAAATGGAAAGGAAAGCTTATTTAAGAGAACTTGGCCACCTCTGCTCCCAGTGGGAAGGAGAAGGGTATTATTTCCCTCCCTCTGGAGAGGACTCTCAGGATGTAGGATGTGGAAATACTTCCTGTCTGTCCACCACCGCCTCGAGGAGTCAGGCAGTGGTTGGATGGAGGAGACGACTTCAATCTTGCCCAGAAGTCAGGAGGCTTTGCTAGGTTGATGGTTTCCCATGACCCCACCCTCGGGCCAAGAGACTTTGTGGAAGGTAGGGGACCTCGGCCTAACCCTGATGGCTTCAGGGTCTAGCCCAGAACACAGCTTGGTCCAGTAAGGAGCCTGGTGCATTCCTGCTGTTATCTGGATGCACATTTGCAGAACACACACTGGCAGAAATAGCTCCTTCCCAGCACAAGGAGAGGGAGAGGTTGATGGCACCCTGACCTGGTGACTCCCAGGCCTGTCTTTCCTGCGAGAACCCTCCACAGTTCATAACTCCTGCACCGAGAGGAAAGGGGGTCATTCAACCTGCCGTGGCAGGAGAGGTGTGAGCTAGGCGTTTGTGCCTGGGCTGCAGGAACTTGGACTGAGTGAACGTTGCACTGTCCTCCCATACAGGGGGAGGAAACTGCTGCTGCTGCTGCTGCTGCTTTTATCTGTCAAGGGAAGCCTCACAGACTATAGCGTGTGTCGCCAGGTCAGAGAGCCTGGCATGCTCTCTTCATCTCTGTCCAGATGTATAGTTAACCTCTATATTAAATATCCTTCACCCACGTTTCTCTCCCTCTCCTTATTTGGACACATGATTATCTTTAATGAGTCTCCTTTGACAATTTATTTAATTTTTGGTGTTGACAATAGAACCCAGGGCCTCATGCATGCTAAGAAAGTGCTGCACCACTGAGCTGCACCCCAGCCCAGGGCAAGCCTTTTCTTAAAAGATTAATATTACCCATCTTATCTCTGCTTTTCTTGTCCTATGCCAATCCCACCAAGTCAAGTGGTATGGCGCTCTTGCTCTCTCTTGCTCTCTCTCGCTCTCTCTCGCTCTCTCTCTCTCTCTCTCTCTCTGAGGCTCATGCATGCTAGGCAAGCACTCTACCACTGAGCTGTATCCCCACCCCATTTTATTTTTTATTTCAAGACAAGGTCTTGCTAAATTGCCCAGGTGGGGCTTGAACTTGCCGTCCTCCTGCCTCAGCCTCCTTGAGTTCTGGGATTACAGGCATGTGCCAGTATCCCCAGCTTCTTCTCTGAGTTTTGGTTTGACCTTCAGAACCCTGCTAAATGGTGTGGAAGAGGGTAAGGAAATTGAAACTTTTCAGAGCACTAGTGTGGTGACTAGAGAGACAAAAAAGCATGAGAATTAAATAAGGTACTGCATTTAAGCATTCTCCCCAAGGGCTACCACAAAGCTTAACACTCAGTGGTAGCCATTAATACTATTCTGAACAGGGCCAGGGATTTAGCTCAGTTGTTCTGCTGCCTGCCTCACAAGTATAAGGTCCTGAGTTTGATCCCTGGTACAAAAAAAAAAACAACTTATGAACAAAAGAATTTCCTGATTTAAATGTAAGCTTTATGTGTATCTGCCCCTTTCTTTCCTTCTTACATTTGCAGCCACCTGAGTTAACACAGATGTGTTCGCTGGTCCTTGGTAAAGCAGAGACATCAGGGAGACTGTGGCTGCCTCTGTATGCCATCTACGGCTTTGGACTCAGACTCAAGCAGAGCTCGGGGATCCAGGAAGAAAGATGTCACTATTCTAAAAGAGAGGGGTGGGGTGGGCCTCAGTTGTAGAGTGCTTGCCCAGCATGCACAAGACCCTGAGTACAGTCCTCAGTGATTAAAAAATTAAAAGGGAGGAAGGACTTATTGAGGACATGGAGCCAGGCAACACTGGCGCAACCAGTCTGCAGGTGAGCCGGAAACTACATAAAAGCACTCATCTTCTTCTAGAAAAATTTGTTTCTGGGTAAATAGTGGGGTTAAAGAATTAACTTGGGTTATCATGAGCAAATGATATTTTGAAACTGTCCAGCAGAGATTTTGCCTGAAGATGTGCACTGCTCTACAAAGACCTCTGCCTGTAGAAGCTAAAGGGCTTTCTGAGCAGACAACAAAGAACCTCAGGCCAGCAAGTGTTATTTTCTGGTAACTCGGATTCTTTTGGCGCACTTTTTGTTTTTAAGAACTGGGGGTTGAACCGAAGGAGCACTGGGCTAGCCTAGCCTGCTTTTGTGTTATTTTAAGATAGGGTTTTTTGCTAAGTTGCCCAGGCTGACCTCAAACACGTGCCCTTTCTGCCTGAACCTCCCAGGGGGCTGAAATTATAGATATGTGCCACCATGCCCAGCTTCACATTTTCAAGATGATTGTCCATGATGATTGTCCAAAAAGGCATTAAAGTCAATTGAACTACAAAAGATCAAAACCATGCCCTTGGCTTCATTAGTAACCATTTAACCATCCTGACCATATTTAACCCTAACAAGTCACATACATCAACCATAATAAGGGCTTAACATTGGTTGGCTTTTTTCCCTCATTGTGTGAATGAAACCCAAGACCTCCTACATGCTAGGCAAGTACACTACCACTGTGCTACAGTACTCTGACCCAATTTTTTTTTTTTTTTTTTTTGGTACCAGGGATTACTCGGATCTTTGCGCTTGCGCAGCAGACAGCAAAACCACTGAGCTAAATCCCTGGCCCTCTGACCCTATTTTTTACTTTGAGGCAGGATACCACCAAGGTGCCCAGGCTGACTTTGAACATGCAATCTTCCTGCCTCAGCCTTCCACATAGCTAGGATTACAAGTGCCACAAGTGCCTGGCTTACTTTCTTTTTTTTGTTTATTTGTTTGTGTTGGTTCTGGGGAGGGAACCCAGGGCCTCATGCATGCTAAGCAAGTGCTGTACTACTGAGCTACACCCCAGCCACATATTCCTGCATAATTGTCCTACAGGTCTGGGAAGTTATTATATCAGGTACTCAGAGTATTTGAGAGGTGAAATCTAATTCTTCCTTAGAAACCCTGGGAAATTATGAGTGAATGGTTACAATTCCCAAAAGTCACTTTTGTGTTCATGAAGGGAGATAGATAATCCCTATACTTCCTGCAGCATTGTGGCAAATGTTTTCTTTCTGACATGGGAGCGAGTCATGGGCAAACACCAGTGTGACTATTGCATTACATAGTGTTTGAAACCTGGTAGACTTGCAGCTGTTGGAAGTGACTTGTGGGCTGGGGATTTAGCTCAGTGGTTCTGGTGCCTGCCGCGCAAGCTCAAGGTCCTGAGTTCAATCCCCAGTACCAAAAAAAAAAAAAAAAGAAAGTGACTTGTAATGTAGAAATGTGTCTGGAGAACATGGAGACTCAAAGTGGAAGCAAAAGAGCTCTGCCCAGGCCCGCAGATCGTTAGAGGAGGAAGAGGTTGAAGCAGTCAGAGCTGTAGCCCGAAGAGGGTTCCAGGTGAGGATCTCCAAATCTTGAGCACAAAGGCCAAAACCTTTGTATGCTTGTAAAAATTCAGAGCTCTAGGGCCAGGGATTTAGCTCAGTGGTTCCGCTGCCTGCCTCGAAAGCGGAGGGACCTGAGTTTGATCCCCGGTACCAAAAAAAAAAAACAACAACCCAAAGATTCAGAGCTCGAGGTCCCCAGCACCAAAAGTCCTTGGTTTTGTGGGCAGTTGCCTGTGACTCCTGCTCCTGCGACGTTCGCTGAGGGACCCTACGCTGGTGTCCAAAGACTACACAGGACCTCCAGTTGTTAAGAGCAAAACCAGGCTCCAAAGGGTCCTGATTCCCAACGTGGTGATTTTGTGGCCCTATGTAGCAGTCCCAGTACCTGAAATTTGTTGTAACCAACCAGTCTGACTGAAAGACCTTTGCACTGGGTGTAGTACCTGTACCTGGACTAAGCAGCCCTGGTCATCCCAGAATGTTTTGATGAGAGGCAGTGGTACAGAGCAGAACCATTACCCTTGGCTGGTCTCCCTCCCTCTTCTGCCTAGGACTGATAGGGGAGACTATCCACCCAATTACTGTGTGAATATAATAGGGCAGAATTTATGTGGCCATTTGTCTTCACCTTGCCTTTAGGATAAAATTAGGAGAAAGGTATACCCCACTGCCTCCTCCATTTACAATATAAGCTGGACAAGTGGTAGACAGGAGGGTTGGAAGGCAGTCTCAGCCAGGTTGCGGTTAGGATGGGCCTTCATTCCTAAAACCATCCAGCAAGAATTTAGATCTCATGTCCCATTTGAGAGAGTTTACTTACTTAGTTTTCAATCCACCCTTCATTCTTTGAGATGAGAAACAAAACCTGCTACCCGTATCGGACCCCAAATTGGTTACTGCCTTTGAAATTCTACCCCACTTCTCTTTAATCATCAGTGTCTTATTTAAGCTTTGTCATCCTCTGCAGTTTTAGAAGCTAACAAGATGATGTAGCTTGTCATTGAAATTGCTCCATGAGATAGAAATCTTACAGCTGTAGTAGTCTATGAAGAAACCTGTTTTTTGGGCAAAAAGCCACACCATTCTAAGAGGGTGGAAACAAATAGCTGTTTCCTGCTCAAAACAGGCCCTGCTATATTGTCAGGCACCACCAAAACTGGGTACGTGTATTTTGGAAGAATATCATAGTGTGTGTGCGTGTATGAATGCATGCATGTATGTGCTTGCACCCCCCTCACACACTCAGGAGTTCATTAATTTAGGGGGAGGTGGAGAGGCACTGGAGGCTTGCAATATGTAAAAAATTAAAAATCGCTCATCACTTCCGGCCGAGACACTGCTGACTGTGAAGTCTGTATATTGGAAACCTTTGTCGTCTAGTTGGCTGGTGATGACATGCTTTTTGGGGTTTTTTTCTTTTGGTACTGGGGATCGGACTCGGGACCTTGCGCTTGCCAGGCAGGTGCCAGGAACCACTGAGCTAAATCCCCGTCCCTATGACATGCTTTTTATCTCTAGAAAGTAGGGGAGAAAGGAGGGCTATGTGAGCCATCGTTGCTAAGTATTATTGTAGTTCTTTATTACCTAAGCAGATCTGCATCGTATGTGTCCTGAAAGAAGTAAAGGGTGCTTTGATGCCTGGTTTTACATAAGAAGTATGGGCAGAGCTACCCAAGGCCCTGGGTTCAGTCCCCAGAACTGCAAAAAATATATAAAAAGTATGTGTAGTTTGACCCCATTTCCCTAAAGTAAGAAGATTTGTGCCCCACTGTAAGGATGGGACTCCGGGCAACGTGGCAGACCCAGTCCCTACCTGGTGCACTGTTAAGCAGTTGGAGAGTTTGGGCGTTTATCATGCAGATTAGCCACATTCTTCGCTTTCTGCCTCCTGCTGCTTGCTTTTGGTCTTCACTTTGTTCATTTACAACTCCTCTGAAGGCAGCCAGGGAAGACAGACCCAAATCAGTTCTTTGAGGCTTCCTAAGTGGGTGAGAGAAGGGTAGTTAAAATGAGATTTAAAAAAAACTGTCCATGAATTTAGTATGTCACATGTGTGTATAGTCTGCTGGTCCCCGTGATCACTGAAAATGGATGGAAAGCTGCACACAGACAAAGCAAGCAGTGTAAGAGGGCAGGAGCATAGACTCACCTCACTAGGGGCAGGGTATGCTGGGGTATGGAGAGGGTATCAGGAGAGTCCTGAAGCCATAGCACCAAGAAAAGTTGTGAAAAGATACTGTACAAAGGTGGACCCTTCTAATCCAATCTTAATTTAAAAGAGTGTTATTGTTCTAAGTGGCCCTGGCC